GGCTCAATAAGAGCTTATACTGAATCCAGAAGATGTACAACCTAAATTTGGGATGAGAAGGGTGTGAGATTGGGAGAGAGCTGCAGTAGCAGGTGTAGAAGCCAGTTCTCAAAATTTCCTTTATGAAAGAATTGGAAGTAAGGTCAAAAAGTGCTTAAAATCTGAATGAAGAGATCGACTCCTTTATCCCAATTCTTTCAGTGACAGGGGAATCTTTCCTTAACCGCAGAACTATTACTGACTCCTGGTTGTCATTCCAGAGTTGATAACCAGTGGCACAGCAGTGACCAGTGAACTGACAGACCTGCTCTGCCTCTGCTGATTTCTTTTTGGTTTTGGGATGTTCCTTTGATTGTTGCTTTACTGATTTCTTATGTGACAGTATTCGAATGTTTCCCTGTTAGAGAAAACTCAAACTGGCTGTGTCACTCCTCACACTTCACCTCTGTTCTGGCAGGCTCTGTCTCTCAGGGATGTTCTCACACAAATGGTGCTGTGCACAGGCAGCAGTTACTGTCCCCAGGACTGGGTCCAGGTGTGTGCTGTGCCAGCAGCATGGATATCTCCGTGCCTGGAAGTAATCTGATTTCACTGGCTGAGTTGTCAGCAGCTGGAGTGGATTCTAAACACCCTGGATGTCCAGACTCAAGCTGCTGCTGCCTGGTGTTAAAGCACAAGGAAGTGACTTATTGCCTGTCTGCTCCCAGACAGGAGGAAGGTGCCAAACTACTTTTCATCAAGGTTTGCCTTTGTGGAACCCCTCTATCTCTTCTGCTTTCTGTAGGAGGAGGAAGCTGATTCTGCCTGTGCGCAAATCCCTTTAGATTTCCTTTTCCCTGTTTTTCAATGTCTTCTGTCAGGCTGTGAGCTGCCCAGACTCCTTGTCCTCCATAAACCTCAGCAAAATGGCTTAGGAGGGACTGGAAAGGGCAACAGGTAACCTGACAAAAACAGTAGAATCCTAGAATTAATTGAATTAATGTATTTCTTATTAAAATAGCATGTCTGATAACAAAACCCATATGTCTTAGCATTGATTTATGTTTGCAACATCCTAGAAGTATAATGTTGATTGGTTTGAATATTTTTGACTGAGGAGAAGCAGCAGCAGGAAAATGTTAGGGTGTGTTTATGTTTTGCAGCCTGTTTTCATTTGAAGTTACCTATCCTGTAATTCCTTTTCATTTTCAGAAAAGAGAAAATGGCAGACCTGGGGACAGTTCCTTAACTCAGTTCTGTCCCTTTTTAAAATGTAAGTTATTGAGCACTGTGAAAACTGCCTCCTAGGGAAAGCCTCTCTTCAACAACTAACACCACAGCAGGGCCAGTTTTGGTCTTCCAGCTGCTATCATGTTATTGCCTGGGTGCTGTCCCTGCTGAGAGGAGGAATGCAACGAGAGCTCAGCATCAGCAGTGCCTGCTGCAGGCTTCTGTTTGTACATACTGGAAAATCCTCTCTTGCATGGGAGCTGCCCAGGGCTTTTGAAGAGTAGTGCTGTGCAGTGGATGCCATCTCCCAGGGAGAAGCCTGTTTCTTGCACATAATAAAATTCAATCTATCTCAAGTAACAAAACCACAGGAAACTTCATCAGTGTGGCAGCTTTCATGACTCCTGATTTTAAACAATGCACTGACAAGTTGTAGGCATGTCCCCTAATAGTACTGAAATTAATTTCTTTTCCTTCTCTATCAGTTAAAGTCTTGCAAGCTCTGTGTGAGCAAAGTGTGTGGCTGGACACAGTCTGAGGATAACTGTGCTTCCTTGAGTGGCTATTTCAGCAACCACTTCTGTATATGGGATGTCTAAACAGACAGAGAGGGCAGGTGGCTGATTAGAATTAATTACTTGAGGATTCAGATCTGTCTTGTTTAAGTTCCTGTCACTGAAACCAAAAGAAACATAAACCAGAGCCTGAAGTGGTATTATTTGTGTCAAATTTCTTCCTGAATCCGAACTCAGAACAAAAGCTGTTACAGCTGTCTCTGCTTCCAAGGAGCGCTGCAAAATCTTGCTTGGTTTATCAGTTACTGGGATCCTTGAAAACTGTCATTAGCAAACTGGTTTTTTTATAAGTGTTTTATTTTAAAAGTAATCTTTTTCCTGTTTATAGTTTGAGAAAAACAGATTGAGAGTTTCCAGAACTAAGTTAGTGGATGACTTTCCCTGATTTGGAGCAAAGAGATTATAAACAGAGAGTAGGTACAATGGTGAAGACTTTCTTGTAGGGCCGTGGGTGATTCAGTTTTAATTGCTGGATTTGGGGGATGGGTGAAGATAAATGGGATCAGGAAGCAGGAGGGGACGAGGAAGGAAGGGAAAGGAGAAGGTCTCTGACTTCTAAGGTTTTATCCTAGATCTGGGAAATCAATGCACTCATAGATCCTGACAAGTCAGCATTTTCTAAAGCAGAAGCATTTAGGAAAATTCAATATCAGTTCAGTGCTTAACAGCATAAATTCTGTATCCTCTCACTTTTTTTGTTTGTTTTAGTACTAGCCAAATTTGCACAAAAGTAGGATCTTTGTTTCTTTATAGTTCAGTTAATCCTAAGCATAATATTTATACCATTTGTGTTTGTAAGTGGTTGCTGTGTAAATTAGCATATTGCAAAAGATTGTAACTTCAGAAAGAGTATACGGACTAGAAAAACATCTAAACAGCATCCTATTTTTTGTGTAAATGTTTGTGTTAATCAAAATTGAAGAAAGGAATGGGGAGAACGAGGACTTCAGAATTGTTTTGAAGGTGTTTCTATTGGGGTTTCTTCTTTAAGCTGTGAACATGAGTGAATGTAACCTGTATTCTCATTATATGCACAGACAAAAGTTTTGTGTTCCTTTCTACCTGCTTAAATCAGACTTTCTTCTTTTCTCTTGTTATGCAAATAGGAATGGGAAAAGCATTTAGCCTGCAGTAGGCATTGTGTAATCATCTTGACTTCAGTCCCAGAGCACTCTTTATAGATAAAACTTACAAAATTATGAGTAGTATTACATACTGGAGTGTATCAAAGAGAGTCAAGCAATAATGCTTTAAATTGAATTAAGTCACTGATGTTTTGATATTAAGTAATTTTTGTATGACTGGTAACTTCCTTCAGTGCCCTGTCTTTTCTTTCTGCAAGACATTTTGCAAATAAAACTGTAGAGATCTAATTATATAGGAATTAGAATAAAATACCAGTTTCCGTGCAATTTTTTTCCCTATTTAACTCAGGAACCACTCATTGAAAAGTATCAAATCCCTAAGAAAGTCATATCTCTCCAGTCATGGGTTACAGTTTGAACTCTTAACTGTGGTGTTGATTTTGAGGTCAGTAACACTTACATTAGAATAATTTTAAAAAGAAAAGGAAATTGATTTTAAAAGAAAAAGACATTTTTGCTAAATCAACTTCCTGCAAACATATTTTGAAAATGGTATTTATAATAAAAAAAAATATTTTGAATTATTTGCTTAAAATTGAATTTTTAAACATTAATTTGAAAATATAATAATTTCATGATAAAAAACAAAATGGGTCATCTTTTATTAAGCACTTATGAGGTCTTTGGGAAAATGCTAACCAATACCTGCTCTTATCTTGTTCAGATGCACATTGAAAACAGAGGTTGAACCTCTTGAAGAAAAACGTTGAACTTCATGAAGAAACAAAAAATCTAAGATTCAATAACTTATCAAAACTTTTTGTATTTGTTTACTGCTTGAGGAGATTTCTTGCAAAACTAAACAAGTTTAGTCCAGTAACCTCTGTAACTTTTCTCTCAGTGGTACCTTTTCTCTTTTGAAATATCAGCCACTCTGCTCCCTTGGACTTGAGGACTGAATAAGGTTTTCTTTAATTGGTCTCCAATGCTAATGAAGCTTTTTTTTCTTACCAGGACATTTTAAGAAACCACAGGAAGTGATACTACCCAAAGGGCAGGATTTTTTGTCTGGTGTATTTGTTGGGGTTTTTTTACTTAGATTTGTTACTTAGGACCTTTTAACAGTCAGAGGAACTCAGTAAAAGCCTCTTGGCTCCTACTTATTTGTGAAACATCTGCCCAGAGCAATGTATAGAAACATGGCTGAAAAAAGGACTGAAAAAAGTATCCAAAAGTTTCTCTAGAGAAAGAGATGGAGAAGAAATACTTCAAAATTATACCATTATGTAGAGCTCCCTGCCTTTCCTTTTTTTTTTTGGTGGGAAATGGGAGAGAAGCCAATTCTACTATATGTTGTCAAGCTGCACAAAAATAGACTTTCAAGAAAGTATATTTGACCTGAAGCAGAAGTTGCAGTGGTTGTGTAGGCCTCTAAATTGCAGAAGTAATCTTTGAACTGCTTTCAGATGTTCGGAATGGTGTGGGTCAGAGAGGCAGACATGGTACCTACAGGGAAATTTTTGTCTATTATGGAGAGGGCGAAAAAGTGCCTGAAGGTACCTAAAAAACACTTAAAATACAGATGTGCTGTCAAACTGGAACAGAATCTGTCATTTTGGTTGGGAGCTTGCTTCATTTACAAGAATGGAGGAATGACAATTTATATTTTGAGCTTTAACTGTGTGCAATTTCCAATAGCAAAGTTATCAGCCCCTTGAAGAGTGTGGTAATATCAGTAACACCGACAGACCTCAACCCACAGTGGCACTACTGGGCTGTGCAGCAATGACATTACAGCAAGTTGAGCTGTCAGACCCAATGGCACTAAACTGTACCTAGGCAGTGGCAGCAATGATGGGTGAATGTCCTGGTTGGCAGAATGTCTCTGGTTGCCCAGAGATAACTGCAGGTAGAATAACAGGGACGTTCTCTGAGCTGCACCACAGGACCTCGCCCTGCAGTGATCCAACAGCTCGTCAAAACTATGAACTGAAATACAAGACTGGAAAATATAGCAGTTTGTGCCCTATTGCAGCTTGCAAAAAGCTGCAGGACTCATGGATGCAGTAGAATGTTCTCAGCCTTGGGTTCCCCGGCCCCAAAGGGAGAACTTTGAGGAGGCCACAAGGCACCGATGTTCTGCTGACCAAAACATCGAGGCAGCTGTAGGTTCCTTCCACAAGTGACTTAATGTTGAGGTTTGCTGACAAAGTTGTCTTTAACACCTTGTGGGAAAACAAAACCCAGATTTTAAATCTTACACCTCTCTCACTTGTCAGTTAACATGTAACTTCAGTGCAAAGTGAGTGGGGACCTCTGTGTATCAGGTGCAGGGAAGCTGCCACACATTTAGTTGATGGAGGCTGTGCAGTGTTTTAACAGCACATAATGAATTGCTTAACCATGTAAGCAGCAGCTAGAGGTGATTGTTCCAGGGAATAGCAATGTAGTTTAAAAATTGCACCATGGAAAATAGTAAATGTTTATGACCCTACTCTTGTGCAGGATTTACAAGAAGATCTTTAATAATAGCAGTGTTGAACAATACTAATACTTTATTAATTCTTCCTATTTTTTCTGTTTATTATATTAAGAAGTTCATTAACTCCTTCCCTCCTTCCCTCAGACAGGATTAGCTGTTGTTCAGGCAGTCCAGAAAAAACTGTATGTGTTCAGGAAGAATATTTTGTATAGAAATACAGTATTTCTTTCCTCTCCTCATCATTAAAGCACCTATATGCATATTCATTGAAATGAAAATCATTAAAATAGAAAAGTGAAACAGGTTATATGGTCATACAGGGGCCTTTTAAAGAAGGCTTGTTCTTACCTAAGCCATATACCTGACCCCTCTCGTGCTTCTAAATCCAGTAAGCACAAGTGCAAAGAGCAATGCTTTTCGTCATACTTCTTCAAGAAATTAATGGCCTATGTGACCATCTTTGTAATGTGGGAGAAGTCCTCTTTACAAAGATAGTTTTATTTCATCTTAGCATTACATACACAAGAAATATATACCTGGTGTGTGGTTACCCATTACTCCCTGTTTTAAATGTATATTCCATAGTGGTACCCTTCAGGAATCCCACAGGTTTCAGCCTGTTTCCTTTTCAAAATTCTGTGCATTCCTTGAGATGCTTTGAATCACAGTTGAGATTCTTCTAATACTTGCATATAAACCATGATCCCAGTAGTAAGCTGTGCTCATCATATTCTTTTAGAACTTATTCTTGCCCTAGGAAATGTAATTAACCAGAACAGACTGGGTAAGTGACCCTGCTGGTGCCGTTCAGCTACAAGGAGGCTGATGTTTTACATTTTGCGGGCATAAAGGTTGCAACCACTGTCAGGCTTTGCATTTAGTTTGTTACTCTTTATCAGTAATTCCTTGTTGGCATGAAGAAATATCTGTGCTTTAGGAGTTTGGCACTATATAGCTTATTTTAATGGTGTTATTAAACCTATCTCAGTTTTATCTGCACCAGGCAATTCCTTTTTCTGCTGCATATTATGAAAACATTCTTAGTCAATTTATTATTGATATTAATTTTTAATGTTCTCTGTACTATATGCTGGATAATGTTATGAACTGTTTCTGAAACCAAAGTGGTTTGTAATCTAAGGAATTACTTACAGGGATGCTTCCGTGAGTACCTGCTGCTTGCACGTGGGCTCGTGGTCTGGTCCTGCCTCCCAGCCCCTCTCACCTGCAATCCCTGCTGGACCTTGGGGGTTGTGTAGGGTGGTGTGATGTGCTCTTTCATGTGCAATACCGCATCCCTGCTGGGCTGGGGGCAGTCTGATATAGAGAAGAGGGGGAGCAATGAACAGTTCAAAATCTCAGCTGTGTGGGGTTAGGGAAAAGCAGGAAAAAAATGTTAAATGCAGGTCATGGCAGAGTTGGATTCAGAAAAGAGATCCAAATCTTGTATCACCTTTTTTACATTGATATGTTATTTATTCTATTTAATTTTGACACAAGGAAGTGAATGAGGAACTACATGAAAGCCATCTCTTTTCCAGTTGCTCAAAAATATAATAATTAGCTATTGAATATTTCTTCTAGTGTACAGAGCCCTCTTAATTCCGTTAACAATACATAGTTATGGAAGTAAAATGGCACAGCCAGTGGATCTTTGTTGTAGATAAAAACAGATCACAAAAATGGTTCTTTTCTTCTTCACAGAAGAACTTGCTCTAATAAGACTTCCTTCAGAATCTTAGAACCTGAGCTTTACCACAGGTCTCAAGACTTAGAGGTCCCAACTTTCACAAGTCAAGCTTCTTCCTTTTAATAAACAAATCTGCATCAATAAGGACCTCCAAATGAGTGCTCAGAGATCCATGACTCTTCTAATGCATTATGAAAATGAAGTGGACTCTTCTAAATGGAATACAGGTGTTCATCCAGAGCGCTGTCAAACTTGGTTATTGAGGGATAATGGGCTTCCCAAGGTAAATGACAGTGGCACAGGGACCAAGCTTTCCATTTTAAATACAGGCAGCATGTAAAGGCCCATGCCTGAAAATCAATTAAGATGGCTATCATGGTGGAGATTTTGCAGGGCCAAAGTCCACCAGTGCAATAACTATCATGTCGTTGTTAACAAATATCGAATGCTTTGCATGCAACCCTGAAAAATGATTCATAAATGAAAATTTGGATTTGCATCAGGTGTAACCAGGATGAACTATGTTTAATCGCCTGAAAAGGAAAACATGATTTAGCAGCCTGCATTCCTCATACCAGTAAGGATCTTCTACCTGAGGAGGTGATGCAGGATCAGGCTTGATGTAAGGAAAAAGAAAGAATTTGTACACTGCATAAGCATCTCATAATGAACCACAGAGATGACAGCAGTAAAACAGGATCCATTATTCATGCTCCAGGCACAAACAACAGTGCAAATGTATTTCCAACACATACAGATGAAAGGATGCCTAATAACAAGCCAAAAATGCCTAATGTTTGCCAGTAGTCCTTAATCAACACCATGGATGTGATTGACCATTCAATGGGGAGATAATTTCTCAATATACGACCATCTCTCTTCACTTTCTCTCTTACTTTACAAGCAGTAAGATAAAGACCATTTTAAGGCCAGTGGCATTTCAGAGTGAGGGATTAAAATAGGATACAATTCCACCTCTCTCTTCTGTAAAAGATGAAGAATGTGAAATTTTTGAGACCTCTGTGCACTTTTCATGTGCTTCTGCTCCAAATATACCAGTGCCTCCATCTCTGCAGGTGCCTAATTCTCTCTTCCTTTTGAGTTGGCTCTAAAATAATTTCAGAAATGACATCCTTCTATGCCATCTTCCTCATATTTCCTCAGCTTCTACCTTAGGAACTTGAAATAGCAGAAAGATTGGTAAAAGGAGTCACAAACTTTTCTCTTTGGTGCTTTCTAATTTTGACCCAGTGAAAATTAATACAGTGTGTAACTTTATTGTAGCTGTAAAAGAAATCACTTGAGTTGAAAGCAACAAACATTGAACATTGAGAGATTATAATGTCTGGTAGATCTATGGTTCAGTACATCTAAGCAAAATTGCTGCTACTGTCCTATGCATTGTAAAATGTTCTAATGATAATCTGTAGTGTAATTCAGGGTTGATTTTTTTTTCCCCTTCTTTTTGTCTTGGTAGTCGAACAAGGCATCAAATACAAGAAAAAAATGATCAACATAATGTCTTTGGAGAGGGACAAAACTACTGTGATTGTTAACTACCTGTGTAAAAAAAAAATCATGCTGACAAAGTAAATTTTAAGTTCCTTTCTTGCTGTCTTCCTCTGAACTGTATTTTTTCCACTCTTATTTTAGGTTAACCTAAAGTTGGATGTGATGAAGAATGTCTTAAAGGTAATTGCATACAATGCATATGGTTCATGAATATACTCCTACCCCTTCAAACAACAAAACTCCTGAGTTCACTTGCCATGTGCCTGCTGATTTATATTTGAGGTGCTGTTCTCCCCATTGAGTTTCTCCCCTT